TACAAGCCTGTGCGTGGGTGTCACGGAGGAGACGGTCGCCCGCCTGTAGGTACTTTTCCATCAGGCTCAGACACAGGCTCTCTCACAAGAAGAAAGCAGCACCAAAAACATTAGGAAAAAGTATTCGTACGCCCTCTCACCCCCGATCCTGGGCGTGTGTGCCCGGAGCTGCCTGCAGGGCGCGTCACCGCAGCTGTCGTTTCGGGTGCGGGGACCTGGGGTCTTGGGTGCCCAGGCGACTCGAGGGACGGTACCAGTTCTTAAGGACGGCCGCTGCATCCGGCGGGACGGTCTAGGCCCTGGTGGAAGACCCTCCGGACCCCCGGGGCAGGGTGCCCTCGCGCCCCAGGGAGTAGTGGCTTGGAGGAGAGCGCAGAGCGTGCGCCCAGCTGGGCGAGTCTTCTGCGAAGGGCTCTGCGCCCCGCGGCGCTCCGGCCGCGAGGGAGCTTGGCCTCTAGTCCCCCACACTCAGCAACTGACTGTCTGCCGTTATTTTTAGTAGGAGTACAAAAAGAATCTCAAAAAGTTTTAGTTAGGGAGAAAGTGGGAACTCGTGGGTGCCCCGCACACATGACGTCAGCCGCCCTCAGGAACCCCCAGAAGCTGAAAACAAAGCAAAAACGAAACATGCACGTTGGGGGAGGGGGGGTGGGAAGCTCACCGAGCATGGTTAGCAAAAAAAAGCAGCGTGGTTTTGAAAGGGAAAGTTTGGGTCGTTTTTGTAGGGTTGGTGTTCTTTGACTATACACTTCAGCTATACTTTGACTATACACTTCACTTCTAGATAAGAGTGTCAATTTCAATAATAATAATAATAAATTGTGTGCTAAGCTCACTTAAGATAAAGACATTCTCATAAGACATTTATTATACACCTACTGGGTCCCTCCTGCTGGATGGGGGGCGCTTCAGAACATAATTTTGGTTAGATTCAAGGACTTCAGACCTGAAGTTTTCCACAAATTAAAGTAGATAAAATCTATTACTAAAGCTCTTTCCCTCACTTTTGGGGTATATATGAATGGTACTGATCAATTGCTCATGTCAAAATTGTGAGTTCTGTTTTGGAAGAATTAACAAAGAAAACCCAGGACTCATAAATCAACACCAAAGTTCGGAAGGTCAGAGCAATCTGTCCTGGGAACAAAGTCTTCCCTAGAGCTAAGAAGCATTCAAAGGCACTCCTGGTGTTAATGGGATTATTAAAGATTTACCTGAGACGAGATAAATGATGATTTCGCAATACACTAGGGTATCTTTGCAGTTAAGTTTTTTTTGTCTGAGGACACATTTTGCCCCAGGAGATCTGGGCCTTGTGGCTTCATTGGACTTTGCAAATGAAGGAAGGCTGGGGTTTCCCAAAAGTGCGCTTGTGTGAGGGAGCTTTGCAGGAAACGACAGACTGGGGTTTACAAGAGGGGTGTGTGCGCGCGCGCGTGCGTGCAGGCGTGCATGAATGAGTGTGTGCCTGCATGCGTGTGTGATGGGGGCGGGGAGGGAGGAGATGCGGGTTGCAAAGCTGCCACCTAGAGGCGCCTTCCCGCAGTGTATATAATGCGAGTCTGCAACCCGAGAGCTCAGTCCTCCAAACTGCTCAGCCCCAGGCAGGGAGCGCAGCAGCCGGGAGGCAGCCGAGCCGGAGCCCAGCCCGAGGTAAGGAAACTGGGCTCCGTCAGCAGCCCTGCTTGGAGAGGAAGGGGGCACGGCAGGCAGGTTCTGCTCTGGGCTAAGTGGCCTTTTTCTGGGGCCTTCTGTTTAATCGCCGTGATGGGTGCTGAGAGCCTGCGGGTCTGGTGTGGGAAAGCCCAGGCTGCCCGATGCGTGGCTGCGGCGCAGAGTGCGCCTTCTAACTGGGGGGGCTGCACCTTCGCTGCTGAAAGTTACAAGGGCAGTTTTCCTAAGTCACTTGTGGAGGAACTCTCCGTGTTTGTTGGATTTAGGATTCTGGTGTTTATTTGCTGCTGTGGGTATTTCAGCTCGAGTAAGCGGAGAACTTTGCAAGAATGCACTGCCTATTCTGCTTGCTCAGAGTTGGCAGGGAGCAGCTTGGCACCACTGCTTACCTGTTTCACTTCTAGTATATCAGTTGGGAAGTGGAATTGGCAGTAAATACGTAATTCCAGAAAGATGTACACTCTGTTAAGGGGCATCCTTCAGTGAAGCAGAAAACTGTGCCGAGAATCTTTGTGAATCCAGATTGCATTTGCATTCTGAGCGCTGGGGGATTAGCAGATCGGTAAGCCCGGAAGCTATAAGGGTGAATGTTAAATACTGCTGGGTCTGCTTGTCTCTTGATTGCATCCTTGCTAATCTAATTTGAGTATTGTTCTCTCACAAGGATACAACTTCAACTGGGAAAAGCAAAAAGCACGCACACAAGTCTAGGATTTTGTAATGTAGGTATACCCTTCAGGTAGCACATGGATTTTGTTCAATTTTGTTAGGTGTACAAAGATTCAAGGGGTGATGGAGAGCAAGAATTTAGTGGGGATGTCAGGGGTGGGAAGTTAGCCAAGACTTGTAACTTTCAGAGAGAATGAGAAGTTGTAAAAGTCAGACGGGCTGTCTCCCTCTCTCTTCTCTCTTTCTCTCTGTCTCTCTCTCAATTCATTTGCTCACAACGGGATCATTACTTTTTTCAGAAGTGGAAGAGGGCCCCCTGAAATGGCTTTCAGCTTTTTGAAACTGACATACAGCCTCAGATAGAGTTTTGATACACTGACATCCCCTGAAACTTCATTCTGTAGAGTTTCAATGTGGTAACTTTGTCTTTTCTTTTTAAACACAGATGCTGCCTTTGTGGCCCTTTATTTATTCCGGGAAAATGCAGAGATCAAATAGGTTGGCTTAGAAAACAAAGCGGAGGCTACTGCAGTCTTGTGCTTTTCATTCTATAGATTTTAATGGATAAACTGCTTGTCCTGCTTTCATTAGCTCCGGAGCTTCCCCAGATGCAAAGCCTTTTTCTAAAGCAAAGTTGCACACGGGAGCCCCAGCTTGGAAACAATTTGTTCTTTTTTTCCCTCTGTCTCTGCCATAAACACTAGACTGCACACAACTGCTGAGCTCCATGCCACAGCCTCTGGAAGAGGGGTAGGCGGGTAGCTGCATGGGATGGGGGTAGAACAGCTTAAGAAAACAAATGGAGAAATGCCAGTATTTTGCTGCCTATCTGATTTTTAAAGGGATGTGCATTGCAATCATAGTTTGTAAAAAGTTGCAGAAAGTATAGCCAAGGTAACCTGCCTGCACTTAACTAAGTCAGGACTCTGGCGGTGAGTTTATCTCCTATTAACAGCACATCCTGAGAGAATTGAGAAGGTATTATGGTTTCTAATCAGGCCCAGAACAGGCCAAGTATAGGCTTTCTGGATGATGGAAAAAAAAAAAAAAACCAAACAAAAAAACCTGACTTCATCCGGAACAGTGGCTTTTTGTGCAGTCCTTCTAGGCAGAGAGCCTCCTGTGTGCTAGGAGGCATGAGGGAGTTGATTGGAGTGACTCAAACCTGAGACCAAAAGACAGTCCCTCTATAAACCCTAAAAATAACGGAGGAGCGGAGAAAGACATTAAGGATTTTAGGACTTCAGACTTTTCTCAGTGATCATGCAGAGCATGAATGGGATTTGGGGCTAGAAAGCATTCGTACTTTTAAGCCAGGCAGCCAAGGAATTTAGTTTTACTTCTAGGAACAAAAGTCGTATTAGAACACCTCTCAGTTGAGTCAGACACTTGTAGGGATAATTTAGAAAGAAACCAAAGATGGTGTCATGTCCAGTGTTTCTCAAGTCCAGAGAGTCATATCTCCGGGACACATATTTTCTAATAAATAAAAAGAAGCAAGCAAGAAGGGGAAAAAAAGGAAAAAAGGGGGCTCTCCAATTTGGAATGTTTGACGGTATTCTGCAGGGAGTATTTGATGCATTTGTTACATAATGACCTACTAATTTAAAGTTGGGGAAAAAAACCATCACATCTTCATTATTAAAATGATGAGGGAATTGCATATTTCTACTCTGAAAATTTTCCTGAGCCACAGGTAGGTTTGGAAGCTAACCCTGCGTTTTGTTCCTAGTGCTCAAAGGGTGGAGGGGCTGAGACTATCTCAGGTGGCCTTGGACTGCTGTTGGTTAAGGGACAGAAGAAGGAGCTGTGAGCTCACGGGGACAGTGCATGTGGAGGGCTCTGCCAGCCAGACAGCGAGCATCTTTGAATATTCTTAGTGTGACAGATACCTTTATATGGGGGTCTTCTCTCAATTTTATTGGACGAGTCCAGGATTGGGTAGCTGTCCCTTAGGAACTCCACTGCGTCTGGCCAAGAGCACGGTAAGTAGCTCTCAGCCTGGCTGACCTCCCACTGCCTCATCCGGGTCCTAAGCTGGGTGGGAAGGAGGGCTCTGGTTACACCTGGCCAACCCAGACAGCAGCCTTTGTGATGCGGGGATCGCAGGCTCTGCCTTCTGGGGACAGCACTGCTTCCCTGTCGGCCAGCTGAGTACAATGGACTGGCTCAGGTTTCTTCAGGGGGGCTCATTCCCCCAAACAAACGTAGCAGATGAGGATGCCCCACATGTGAACAGGAGGAATGCCCTAGGAGCCGGGAGTAAGTGGCCTGCATCTGAACCAGGACTGTGCCCTCTCTTTTCCTCTCCCCCTTTATTTAGTATTTTCTATGTTCTCAAAGGATGCAGAGCAGTTCCTTTCACAAGCTAGGAGCGGTCAGGGTTGCCATGAATGTTCGGTCATGACAGGATTGTTTTCTGTTTGCTTGGCATGGGGGATGGACCAGTCTCCACTCTGCTACCAGCCCTAGCGGATGACCACGGGGGGCCTGGCTGGGCACAGCTCCCTGGACCTGCCTCAGATACAACGCAGGATTGGTGGAAAACAAAAGACAAACGAATGAAAACCAACCTCCAGTGACGCGCCACTGCCCCGTGATTCTCCAGGGGTGTGTAGACTCTCCTTATCTGAACTGCACTTCAGTCCAGTAGAAGGGGTGGGACTTTCACAAAGAAGCCAGAGCATGACTCCCACGGGGCAGAGTCTCTGGAAGAGTGGGGAGTGTGGAGAGGGCAGTTACTAGCCACAGAGTGAGAGGGGTCAGGCCCTCCTGCTGTCCTGGCCTCTGTTTCCCCATGTGCAGCAGTGAGAGAGGCCTCCTCACTGGGGGCCATGTCTGAACCACACTGAATCGCTCCGGGCAACACCGTCTGGGGAGGCACAGGTCCCGAGTTGCAGAAAGCCACTAAACGTCAGCTGTGGGCGGAGGACCCAAAGAGCCCCGAGGTTCCTGAGGGCCCCTCAATGTCCCAGCAGGGGCATGGCCCTGCCCGGCTGGTGGATCCCATGGCCCTGGGGCTGGGCATGCCTTCCGCCTCGTGGCAGCCCACCTCGGATCTGCTCTGTACCCCGTGACCAGAGCACCCACTGCAAGCCTTCCACGCGGTTTGTGTCACCTCCACCCTCCAAAGCCGTTCCTGCCCCGGAGTCGCTCGCTGGCGTCAGACCCCCGTGGCTCCTGCACCGACAGGTCCGGCCTGACTCTTGCACGCTCACCCTTTCCACCTGCTTTCCTTCGTGGGCCCCCAGCCTCAGCCGGATTTCGGTGACCCTCTTCATGGCCTGTCACTATCCCCCGTTTTGAAGGCCCCAAGAAGCCACCTGAGTGGAAATCCCTCACTCTCTCCCCCAGGGGGGGCCTGCCGGCCTCCCCCTTCCTCCCCTCCCCAGTCAGGGCTTGAGGTCTTGGGCCCGGGTGTGATGATTCCAGCTTCTTATGCCCAGAGCATGCCCCTCATGGAAGAGACTCTATAAACATCTGGGTGTATGAAAAGGGGTGGTGTTTATCTCAGCTCCGCAAGGAGTTCAGAGAAGTCTGGCCCGGACTCCCATTCCAGGGATGGCCTCAGACCCCCGGCCGCAGTGGAGCCCAGGGAATGTTGGCTCACTGACTCTCGGTTCACTGAGCACCTATTTTGTGCCAGGTGACTTTTCTGGCTGTGGCTATACATGGATGCAGAAGACATTGTTGGGGTGCCAGGCTGGCATAGGGAGGAGGTGGAGGAATGTACACGACACAATGACACAGCAGGGAGATGGTGGCCTGGGTGGAGGCAGACGCAGGAGGAGCAGACGGTTTCATTATTTGGGGCAGCAGGGGCTCAGGGTCTGTGATCGGAAACCGCAAACATAGGGAGGGCAGGTTGGTTCACAGCAGCCAGAAACCTGGACACTTGGCAGTCATGGAGGGAGTGGCTTGGCCAGTGGGAGGGCATGGGTATTGCAGGCCACCCCGCCACCCCAGGAGACCCCAAACGCAGAGACTTCTGTTTCTGGCTTTACCCCCACCACCACCCCCAGCTTTTGGGGGAGCTCAGGCGAATGATTCAGATGCAGTGGGTACCTCAGGCCACCTGCTGTGGCTCCCTTGTTGTCAAGGATACTTGGGGGATGAGCAATAAGATGGGAAACGAGAAGCCCATCTTCTAGAAGAGTCCTGTAGTTGACAGACAGGGCCCCTGCCAGTACTTGGGAAGGCGAGTGGCAGACGAGCGCCTTTGCAGACCCCAGGCCGGTGGGGAGGACAGGACAGGCCCTGGGGCCTCCCCAGGCGGGACGAGGTCCACCTCCTGGCATGGTGGCGGTGTGACGCTCTCTGAGCCCAGCCACGAGGCGTCTACAAAGTGCTCGTGTGGGGAAAGGGGAGGAACAGCAATGGCAGCTGCTCTGGTTCTCAGCTGGGTCTCTGTGGTCTGGAGAAATGGAACCTGAACTGTGGTCATTCTGGGGCACATTCCTGTCTCTATTAACATTTACATAATTCTTGATGTCAAATTTCAAAAAATAGAGATATTTATACAGTAAAATCTACAATTCCTCTCCATCTCCTCATCCTTCTCTCCTGCCCCAGTGTTTTATACTTAGTGTAGATATTTTTTCTTTGCTGTTGTGCACATTTTTTTTTATGTAAGTGAGATCATGCTATGTGAGCATCTACACATTGCTTTTCACTGAACAGTCTGTTAGAATTTACCATGTTCCTAAAAGCACGCTGCCCTCTCTCTTCACAGTCCTGTTATGTTCCAGACACTGAATGCACCATAGTTCATTGAACCACTCCCCTACCAATAGACATTTATGTTGTCCCCATTTTTTTCTCATGTATAAATAGTGCTTCAGTAAACATTCTGTGTACACAGTTGGGAAGGTGAATGTTTTGAGGGGAGAAATGTTTGAATTTGTAAAATCAACAGGAACAATCAACTAGAAATCTTGTAGTCTAAGCCCCCTGTTTTTCTCTCCATGGGGAATCCATGCAGATGCCTGTAACTTCAGTGTCTGAGGGGGTCTCCACTCTTCTGCCTGCCCTAGTGGGGGCTCTGTGTCCACTGGGAGGCAGGCACTGGGCAGGCTTGTTTAACGCCCAGAAGTTTCTCCCAAGCTCTGGCTGTGAGCAAGCAGGAGTGGAATTGCTGGTTTATTCCAGCAGAGGGTGACTGGTCCAAGCCGGAGGAGGGAGTGTCCCCAGGTTGGTGGCCATCACCCAGCGGCTGCCTCCCAGCCAATGAGAGACATTCCTGTGCAGAGGGGAGTGTGGGGCCAGGGGCCAGCTCCTTCCTGAGTGGTACAGAACGCAGTCAACTCTGTGTGGCTGGATGAGCTAATCCCCTGCTTTTGCTGGAGGGGAGCTGAGATTCTCACCTGGGGCCCCACAAGTTCATTATAGGCTCCCTCACACCCTTCCCCCTCGGATTTTGCTGGAGCTCTTGCCAGATCTTTGGAAACCAGGGGCCTGGGGTAGACACGTCATAGTTTGCCGTTGCTCCTCCTGGGGGCTCTGAGATTTGTTAAACTCTAGGCCAGTGATGTAGGAAGATGGTGTTCCTTGGCGGTAGCCCCATGTCAGCAGCGTGATGGCGTGAGACAGATGGGCCTGCCTGGCGCCGGACCCCTGGACACGCACTGGGCAGCCCGCTGTTGCTGCAGACCACATTTAACATAACCTGGCACACTGTTTTTGTCAAATAAGATGCTATTTTCTAGAAAATTTGTTTCTAAAACCAAATGCATGAAAGATACCGAAAGGACAGAGGCTGAGCTATTGTGTGGTTTTTTTGTCTCCCCTCGAGCTCCCCGTTTAAGTTTGTGGAGGCTTTGGTACTGCACTGTCCGACCGCCTTTCTCTGTGCTTTTCTTCCTACTCTTGACCCCTACAGCCTCTGTCCCTGGGGTCCCCCAGAAGAAGCTGGGTGGTCCAGGCATGGCCCTAAGTGGGGGGCACTGAGGCCTCGTTAGGTCACCGGGAGGGGAACCAGTGGCCCTTTACAAACCACGGAGGAGTCGGCCCAGAAGCCTGCTGCAACCCCTTGTTAACTGGGACTCCCGAGTAGGTCGTCTGCTGTGTTTTGGGGCTAAGGAGCGGGTCCCAGGAGGGGGCAGAGTGCCTCACCTCTCAGGGATTCTGCTCTTGTAGCCCGAGGGTGCACATGCCACACTGCCCACCTTTGTGCTAGTTCCTGCATCGCTCTCCATGGAGGAGACATTCCATGCCTGGCCAGCAAGAGTCAGTTTTAGATGTGGGGCAAGAATTAAACGAGGCTATATTGGGCCCTTTAACTGCTAGATGACTCTGAGACACGAGCCGGTGTCCCAAGAAAGCAGCAGGAGGCCAGGTAACTAGGCTCAGGTTAAACACTAAGGGGTGAGGAGTCGGGATGCCAACCCGCGAAGGCCTGACTTTGGGATGGACGCTGTTCCCCGCTGCCCTTGCATACTGTTAGTGTAGCCACCTGGGCACTGACCCGCGGGGCAGTTTCCCATCCTCCAGAGAGTTCTCATGTGACCTGGAGTTGACTTGAATGAGCTTGGAAAGTACCCTTGACTGTGGTCAGTCATTACCTGTGACAGCTGAGAAGGAAGAACGGCCACCATCCTTTACAGGAGAACTCTCAACAGGGCACCTTGGAAGGAGCAGTTTCATTTTACACTCCCTCCCCGTAGTCATGCAGTGGAGATGCCCACCCAGGGCTGACCGACAGGTCCGCAGGAGCCCTCCCCTGGAAGCTTTTGTAGCGGGCGTGTTTGTGGAGAAATTATTTCCAGGCACAGAGATACTTAGGAGCTGGTTTCTCTGTTGATGTTAAGATGGTGACAATTCAGAGTGCTGGCCTCCTGTCAGGTCAGCAGGGAAAACAGTTGAGCAAATCGTCAGCCCCTCCAGAAATGCAGCAGGGGGTGATTTTTGTGCTTCGAGTCTCGGTACAAGTTGCTCTTGAAGCAGTTAGATAAATAGGATGAGGTGATGGCCCACAGCTTGAGACAGCTGGTTGGTCACCCTTGGTTGAGATCCCATGGCAAACGCAGGTTCTGCAGGTTTGGGGCCCAGTGGAGCTGCAGGGCGTTGCATATACGCTGAGTGGGCGTCAGGACTGCACAGTGCAAACCTAAGACCTAGGTTTACATGCAAATGTTGTGGAAAGATAAAAAGCACTGAGTCACATTTCTGATGCAAATTTGGAAGAGAATCTGAAATACTCTCCTGAAGACACCAGAGCAGGAGACTTGCTCTACAGAACCAGGAGCAGATCAACTCGCCATTCTTTGGGGACATAGGTAGAATGGCTCCACTGTCCGCGCTAAGAGTGAGCGGGCCATCAGCATGACTGTGGCTGTGGGTCAGCTGCCTGATGTTTCTCTGGCCCCTGGACTGCTGATTTCACACCCTGATCTGGGCACAGCCAGGCTGGCAATGTCTTGAGAACACAGCCATGAAAAGAGAGAGAAAGCAAACCCTGTTTATCTCTTTGAGCACCACATGGATTTAGATTCTGGCTGTGTTTTATTTTGTTTTGCAGGCTTCTGCTCTGGCTGTTTTCTTTTCTCCTTTCTTTGCAAAGCCCCCACAGCGCTAAAGCAAAACAGCTGAGCCTATGGGGGCGCTGGAAAGGCACTTTGACTGAAACGTAAATATTTCCTCTTCCTTCTCTTTTTGTTTGATTTCCACGTAGGCGATTGGATCACTGCTGTCCACACCATGGATTTGCATCTCTTTGACTACTCAGAGCCAGGGAACTTCTCCGACATGAGCTGGCCGTGCAATGGCAGCGACTGCATCGCGGTGGACACGGTGCTCTGCCCGGCCATGCCCAGCAAGAGCGCTCTGCTGTACACACTCTCCTTTATTTACATTTTCATCTTTGTGATCGGCATGATCGCCAATTCCGTGGTGGTCTGGGTGAACATCCGGGCCAAGACCACTGGCTACGACACGCACTGCTACATCTTGAACCTGGCCATCGCCGACCTGTGGGTGGTCGTCACCATCCCAGTCTGGGTGGTCAGCCTGGTGCAGCATAACCAGTGGCCCATGGGAGAGCTCACGTGCAAGGTCACTCACCTCGTCTTCTCCATCAACCTCTTCGGCAGCATCTTCTTCCTCACGTGCATGAGTGTGGACCGCTACCTCTCTATCGCCTACTTCACCAACACGTCCAGCCACAGGAAGAAGATGGTCCGCCGCGCTGTCTGTGTCCTGGTGTGGCTGCTGGCCTTCTGTGTGTCCCTGCCCGACACCTACTACCTGAAGACCGTCACGTCTGCGTCCAACAACGAGACCTACTGCAGGTCCTTCTACCCCGAGCACAGCGTCAAGGAGTGGCTGATCAGCATGGAGCTGGTCTCCGTCATCTTGGGCTTTGCCATCCCTTTCTCCATCATTGCCATCTTCTACTTCCTGCTGGCCCGAGCCATCCCCGCGTCCGCTGACCAGGAGAAGCAGAGCAGCCGGAAGATCATCTTCTCCTACGTGGTGGTCTTCCTGGTTTGCTGGCTCCCCTACCACGTGGTGGTGCTCCTGGACATCTTCTCCATCCTCCACTACATCCCCTTCACCTGCCAGCTGGAGAACTTTCTCTTCACGGCCCTGCACGTGACGCAGTGCCTGTCCCTGGTGCACTGCTGCGTCAACCCTGTGCTGTACAGCTTTATCAATCGCAACTACAGGTACGAGCTGATGAAGGCCTTTATCTTTAAGTACTCGGCCAAGACAGGTCTCACCAAGCTCATAGATGCCTCCAGAGTGTCGGAAACAGAGTACTCCGCTTTGGAGCAAAGCACCAAATGAGGTGCTCCGCAGCGTGGCCAGGCGTGGGCTCTGGCTCAGGGGTGCTGGGGCTGCATCACTCCCCAGCGGAAAGTGAGGGGGCTTCGGAGCTTGATGCCTGAGTGGCGTCAAGAGGGGAACACGTGTCGCTGCGTCCTTTCTCCCTTTTTTGTGGTGCCAATGTGGCTGTCGTGTGGCTGTGGGTTCTGGCAGTGTTCATCTTGCAGGGCTGTGCTGCGCGGCCAGTGCTACTTGTCAAAGCCGCCTACAGGACAGGCTCTTGCCTGCACTTCTGTAAAATAGGACTTTGTGTTCCCTGAGGGTTTTATAAGGTGATTTGTATTTAAATGTTAAGACTTTATTTTCTCACTATTGCTGTACCTTATAAATGTATCTGAAAGTCTAAATATATTTTAAATATGGTATGGGAGGTATAATGCTGACATATATTCAGAGTGTCGTAGTTTTAAGATCAGTCTGATTCCGGTTTGACTAAGGATGACATCATTGTTAGCTGTTTTGAAATTATATATATAAATATATGAATATATGCCAGTCTTGGCTGAAATGTTTTATTTACCATAGTTTTATATCTGTATGGTGCTTTGTTACCGGCGTGGCACATGGAACGAAAACGACTCTATAATGCAGTCTGTGATACTGTATTGTAAAGTTACTTTGAAAAAAACAAAACCAAGCAAAACTCTTTCAGGCTGCAATGCTGTGCACAAACGGAGAGTCTGATTTCAGGGTGTTCTCTCCATTTGTAAGTTATTTTTTTTTAACAAAGATTTTTTTTTTCCTAAAAAGACATTTTGGTTTCAGTTTTAAACGTACGTTTGGCATTTAGGTGCCATGTATGATAATACCGTATGGATGTATCCTGCATCTACAGGTCAACCTAAGTAATTTTTTTTTTTTATAAAGTAACTACTATAAAGGCAAAACCCAAGGAGTTAACTTGGATAAAATGATGTGAAAGGAAAAACATTTGTGTGCTTGAGTGTTCTGTTTTTTTAACTTCATGCGGTGTGTTTGACGGAGGGGAGAGGATGACATGGTGCAGGAAGTTTGCACCTGCTGTCGGCCCTACAGTCTTCAGGGCCCCTTTTATGCCCCCAGGGCCGCATGTCGCAGCCTTGAGCCTTCCCTGCTCAGGTTCTGTGGTTAGAGTCCTGCTTTCATTTTCTGTGTACAGCACAAACTCTTCATTTAAAAGCTAACCTGTCAATGACCTTCTTGAGGCCATGCAGTGAGTGGATTGCTGGCCCAGGCATTACCGAAGAAACCACTTCAGCAGTAGTTGCGGCACTCTTAGATGGCCGGTCCTGCTGTGCCTTCACCGGCTCTAGGGGCAGCCACAGGGATGGTGGGACTGCCTTGGGCAAATGCATCTGGGCAGGAGCTCAGAGAAGGACTTGGCTCCCAGGGCTGCCCCTACCAGCTCCGTCTCTGATGGGACCGATTTGCCCAGAGAACTCTTAGCCAACACAAAGGCAGAGCCAGACCAGGAGCTCCAGTCTCACCTCTGAGTTTGGGGGATGCTGCCACATAGGAGGGCACCCCATGCATGCTGGCGCACCCATAGATTCTCAGGGGCAGTCCCCAGGGCCCATGGTAGTGTTGTGAGAGGGGCTCCTACTTCCTCAGAGGGTTTTATGGCTGAGAGTTTTGAAACCAGGACTATGAATTACTCTAAATATCTACTTGATGCCCATACATGTTCTCGGGTATGGAAGTGCCTTGCCTTGTTCCAGGTAGGTTTCAGGCTGGATAACAATAATGTAGCTAGTGGGATACCAACATAACTATAGGCAAGGATAACATGAGCAAAGACATAGAAGAACGGCAAAATGAAGTTGGGAAATTCAGCCCCAGATATGTGTTCCTGACAATAGAAAGGGGTTGCAAGTTTGCACTGAGTTTTCTGGTGGCTTCAGTCAGAGAGCAAACATCCTCACCAAGTAGTAAATTCAAGGTGGGGGCATATACTGCATCCACAAGCTCAGTGGTGCCATAGATAGGACATAAAAGCTAATTAAACTTAAATTGAGGCCTCATCTCAAATCAATTCAGAGACGCTCTCTCTGCTCCCAGGGATCACTGGAGTTTTGGGTAAGTGCTGGGGGAGGTCATTTGGGGAAGAGGGGGGTTTGTCCTTGATAGTTGTCTGTTCCCACTGGCATCCACTGAGACCCCCATTGCCTCCCTGCCCGGTCCTCGGGCAGGTCTTCTTGTCACCCCGTTCAAGGGTCTCTTCTGCTGTTCCCTGCCACGCTGGACCTGGGGTACCGCAGTGTTCCACAGACCACCCCTGGCATTTTTCTGTTTCCTTACAACTCTTAGCCCGTGAGAGTCACTGGGCAGCTTCCTCCTGCACGGAGGTGTGGAACGATGGGGGGATGAAGGCTGAGCTGGATCTAGACGTGCCGTGTAGTACTTTTGCTTTGGGGTGATTTCCCTTCTCCCCAGAGCCTGGAGCCCTCTACCTCGGGGGGGTCTCTGGGGTACAAGCCACATCTCAGGGATGCAGAAAGTCTCCCTGCCTCTAGAAATCCCCTTCTTTCCCCAGCCTCGGAGCTTCTCTGATTCATCCCCAGTTACCCAGGCCCATAAGCCTTTCCTGTGACCGTGGCTGGACATCCTGTGACCGTGGCTGGAACATCCTTCCCAGGACTAGTGGTGCTGGCCTGTGGGGCTGCAGGGGGGGATGATAGAGTCACAGGTCAAGGGTCTGGAGCATCTCAGGGGATCATCAGTTACTATTTAAAAAAATTCTGTGTCTTCCCTGTGGACGTGAACATTGAGTGGGCAGGAGCTGTGTGCCAGGTTTGGGATATGAGGTGGGCATGGGGGCGGGGAAAGGAAGGCTGGGCAGAAGCCCCCAGTCGTCCTCAAATTCAGAGGCCAGAGAGCCTGACATTCCGCCCTATGAGGTTCAGTCTTTTGGCCGCCTTTTGATGGAAAGGTCTTTGAAAATGCCAGCCTCACGAGGGGGCAATAAAGCTGTTACTGATTTAGCAAATGAGGGCATTTGGGGAGCCCAGGAAGGCTGTCTGGAGCCCCCGACCCCCGTCCCGGGGGTAGCTTCCTGTTCTTGCCCTCAGGTCTGCAGAAGGACCGTGGCTGACAGGCAGGGCAAGACGTGCCGTCAGTGTATGTGCAGGACCCACATCATCATTCTCATTCTGCCTAAAGATTTCAACTACATGGATTTGGTTCATTAACAGTTCACATAAAGGATGTGCTCAAATTAAACTTTAGTAAAATTGTAAGTGCGCTTGGAGGTTTTAAAGTCCAATGTAATATTTATGATACTCAGTTTAAAAGGCCCCAGAAAGAATAGGGTAGGTGACAGGACTGTGTCAGAACACTGGGGTGACAGATCCATTCTGTGACTCCGGAGCTCGGTGACTTCCCGGTGTTTCTTCCGTGAATGTCAGTTTTGTCTCCGTATAATCACTACTCTGCCTCCACGAACAGGTCACCTCGGAAGTCAGGAGGATTTATGGTTTGTTACATGCTGCTGGATACCGCGGAGTGAACGGATGAAGGGGTGAGGGAGCCCTTGAACCCACGGGTGGCCACACAACGGTCCTGGAAATTTCTGAAGCTTTTTGTGTGATTTATTTTATACAGTCCCAACGTTTACCAAGCATGCTGCTCCCTAAGTCTTAATTATTGAAATACAGATAGTCAGCTGACAGACCTTGCTTCGATTTACGATTTTTTGACTTGGTGGTGGTGCAACAGTGACTTACTTGCATTCAGTAGAAACAGTACTTGGCGTTGTGACTTTGGGTGTCTCCCCAGGCTGGGGATCCTCTCTCGGGATGCTGGGCAGAACAGTGAGTGCGGCTTCTAGTTGGCCACGTGATCACAATGATTGACAAGTGATACACGCACACCGATAACCACTCTAATAGTTTTCGCTTTCAGTACACTGTTCAATACATTACACAAGTTACTCAACACGTTATTACAAAATCGGTTTTGTGTGAGATGATTTTGCCCTTTGCCCACCTGTAGTGTTCTGAGCACGTTTCAAGTGGGCTAAGCTAAGCTATGATGCAGTAGGTTAGGTGTATTAAATGCATTTTGACTTAGGATATTTTCAGCTTACAATGGGTTTACCAGGATACAACCATATTGTATATCGAGGCAGATCTGTGTGTCACATCTTCTGGTGTGGCCCTATGCTTCTCAGGCGCCTTTGAAGTCTGTGGATGGGTTTATCGTCACCTGTCCCTTGCTGAAGGTCACCGCGCATGTGATCTCTGTTTCCCAGGGTCTTGCTTCCCAAGGACTGAGACCAGTGGCTGCAGGGGAGGCCTCGGAGTGAGGGAGGGCATGGTTATCTATGGTATGTCAGAGTGACAGGCAATTTGGGCATTTTTCTTATTTTCAAAAGCTTCATTTCTGTTGGCTTTTCATATGCTTATTGCCTCAGACGTCTGCATGTGGGACTCCGAACGGCTGCCAATCATGTCATTTCTCCTAACGGGTTGGGGTGCAGGGGAGTGGTGGCTTCCTCAGCCATTTGTAACAATACAATGTTCAGAAGCAACAGAATGGAAAAATCTGAATTTCCATAGTTATTTCCGGAACTAAACTGATTAGAATCATTTCTTAGGTAGGTCAGCATCTTCCCTCTAACAATTTTTAGAAGAAAAAGCAAAGAGCGAGTCACTGTGGCGATGGCATTAAATCTGCTTGGGTGACTCAGAATGTATGTTGGCACGGCAACATGTCATGGGGCGAGGCGCAAACATGCCGAGTCGGTGGCCGCAGCCCTTCTGAAAGGGCCCCGGGCTTTGCTGAACGAGGCTGGATTTGCTTCCTTTTAGCCTTTCACATGGAAGTGCTTGAAGCGACTCTTTTCATCCCTTCCGCAGAGCTGCGATCAATAGGAAGAGCGCATTAAAGGTTTCCCCACCATTGCGGTCCTCAGGGCCGTTGTGAGAAGCGGGGATTGTGTTTTATGCAGGGCTGTAATGAGAATTTAAATTTCGTGCCGAGTGTGAAGTGTAAATGAGAAATCATCCGTTGCCCAGCTGTGCACCCGATGAATGTCTTTCTCTGCGATTTATTCCGCACTTGCTCCCATTAATTTATTCATCCATCCATGCATTTGTTCGTTCCATCACAGGTCGGACAGGCTGTATTGAGCACCCACTGTGTGCCAGGCACTGTGCTTGTGCTTGTCTTTAAAATATCAGCGATGGCTGGAGTTTTGTTTTTCCTTTTGATAAGCTCCCAGCCTGGAAGGGGGCGTGGACAAGGAGACGCAGAGAAATCGTTACAGGGCAGCATGGCGGGGAGGATCCTGGTGGCCCTTTCTGAGGGAGAGATCCTTCAGGGAGGAATCAGGAAAAGCTTACAGAGAAGGGTCTTCCCATGGCGGCCTGAGGACAGCCAGGACTCCAGCGGGCAGGCCTGGGGCACGGGGCGGGTGGCGGCAGGCCTCGGGGCAGTCTCTGGGATGCTATCACCATTAAAAGTCAGTGTTTCAAGGAAAAGTGAAAGCATCTAAGAGGTGTCCAGACATTAATGAATACTGATGTCATCCATCATTGCATGATGGGAGCATATTTCTAGGTGGAAACCAGAGGTCCTAATGACCACCCCACCCTGACAGGAAATGGAGCTTCGGCACAAGGGAGCCGGGGGCAGACAGAAAGGCCACGGGGCCAGCACTCGGCTCTCCCTGGCTGCAGAATGTGCTTCTGGACCTGCGTTTCCGAAGGAAGGGGTGAGCCCCCATGAGCCTGACCTCCTCTCCGTGGCCAGCCGGGTGGCACCTGCTGCAGGCTGACCACGCTGCTGGGTTTCTGCGGCGGCTCCTGGAGGAGGAAGAGGCCATGCTTCAGGGGTGCCCCCTAGCCAGCCCAGACCCTGTGTTCCAGTGCGTTCTCCTCCCTCCACACGTAGGGGCTTGCGTTAAGGAGCTCTTGACCACCTGCTTACATGCAAAACACAATCCCGGCA